TTAACTAAAGGAGCAACTCGGGCACACCTTAGCCTTTTGTATGTCTTTGGAGAACTGTCTACTCCTGTCTTCTGCCCGTTTCTTGTTTGGGTTTTTTGGGTGTTGAGTTCCTTACAGATTTTGGATACTAGCCCTTTATCTGATATGTCATTTGCAAATATCTTCTCCCATTCTATGGGATGTATTTTAATTTTGTCCATGTTTCCTTTGCTGTGCAAAAGCTTTTATCTTGATAAAGTCCAATAGTTCTTTTTTACTTTTGTCTTCCTTGCCTCTGGAGACCTATTTAGCCAGAATTTGCTGTGGCTGAAGTCCTATAGGTTGCTGCCTATGTTCTCTTCTAGGATTTTGATGGTTTCCTGTCTCACATTTAGATCTTTCATCCATTTTTGAGTTTATCTTTGTGTATGGTATAAGAATGATCCAGTTTCATTCTTCTGTGTGTGGCTGTCCAATTTTCCCAGCACCATTTGTTCAAGAGATTGTCTTTTCTCCATTGGATATTCTTTCCTACTTTGTTGAAGATTAGTTAACCATATACCTGAGGGTCCATTTCTGGGTTCTCTATTCTGTTCCATTGGTCCATGTGGCTGTTTTTTTGTGCCAGTACCATACTGTCTTGATCACAGCTTTGTAATACAGCTTGAAGTCTGGAATTGTGATGCCTCCAGCTTTTGTTTCCTTTTTCAACATTCCTTTGACTATTTGGGGTCTTTTCTGGTTCCATAAAAATCTCAGGATTATTTGTTCCAGCTCTGTAAAAAAAAAAAGGGGGGGTGTGTGTGTGTGGTATTTTGATAGGGATTGCATTCAATGTGTAGATTACTTTGAGTAGTATAGCTCTTTTAACATTTCTTCTTGCAATCCATAAGCATGGAATGCTTTTCCATTTCTTTGTGTCTTCCTCAATTTCATAATTGCTCTGTAGTTTTTAGAGTACAGATCTTTTACCTGTTTGGTTAGGTTTATACCTATGTATCCTAGGAGTTTGGTGCAATTGTAAATGGTATGGATTCCTTGATTTCTCTTTCTGCCTTTTTTTTTTTCTTTTTAAATATGACCCTGACAATTTTGAGAAGTACTGATCAGGTATTTTGTAGCAGATCATTTTGAGTTTGTCTGAGGTTTTCCTCATGTGTAGACTGGGATTTGAGGGAGGAATAGGACGGTGGTGATGTACCATTCTCCTCACATCATTCCAATGTCAGTGACCTATGGCTGATACTAACCTTGATCACCAGGCTGAGACCACTGTTTATCAGGTTTCCCCACTTAGCAAATCACTAATCACAGTCCACACTCCTGTGTAGGAGTGGGATGGGGTTAAGATATATTTCCTGGAGGAGGGAATTATCTATATAACATATTTGGAATTTTTCTGTAAGAGTGATTTGTCTCTTTCCATTTATTCATTCAATCATTTATCTCTATCTGTATGTACTCATGGATATTTACTTTCTGCTTTGGGTTATAATAAAGTAGTATGTTATTTTGGCCAGTGGAAGCTCTTTCCAGTTGGCTCCTGTGTCTTTTTGACCTACCCCATCCTTTTTTCCTTTCTGACCTTATAAGTTCTACGGTCATCTTGTATATTTCTAACCCCGGCCCTAGAATCTGAATTTCTCCAGGAAGCCCTGATTCCTCTTATTGAAGGACAGTATTTAAACCTGTCTGATCTGAATCTGAGTGCTTATAATTTTAGAAATTAGTAAAAACCACTCTAGAACTGTTGACATTTATATTCCAGTTGTATTTGCCAAATTTCCTATAAAAATTTTTGCTATTTTTTTGATTTGCCATTTGTTTGAAATCTTATAGACAAGAGGTTTTAATTTCAACATAGTTAACCATATTTTCTTATATACATCCTGATTCTTTATTTCCCTCATTATGCCCAAGCTGGTAAGTCTCTCCTCTCCTGAGGTGTAATATATATTCTTTATTTTTCCCTCCTCTGGTTTGAGTATTGATGACTTACTGATTTACTCAGAGATTTATTCTATAAGGATACTAATCATTTTTCCTGAATGGTTTACCAGTTGTCCTTAAATAATCTGCACTGATATGATTCCTTTTCAATTACAGTATTTATTATACATGAAATCTTATCAGATTGTCTTTTCCTGAGTTATCTACTCTGCTGCTTTGATTATGGTAGCATCATAGAGAAGGACTGATCAAGTTACATATTCAGCAGTAGGGGGGTAAGGCTTTGGAAGTGGTTTCAACCTCTGGGGCAGTTTACTGCCCTGGGACATCTAGCAATGTCTGAAAACCCTTTGCCATGACTGCAGGAGACTGAAAGTTCTAATGGCATCGAGTGGGTAGAGGCCAGCAATGCTGCTAAACATCATATAGTACACCCGAGGGTCCTCAATTATCCAGTCAACAATGTTAGCAATAGTGCGGTTGAGAAACTGCTATAGGAGATTGCATTAGAGCAACCAAGAAAGAAAATCAGGTGAGAGTACTATGAAAAAGGTGGGAATATGTTTTCTAGATGAAATGTCCCTTCCCCCAGACCTTCCCATCTCTACCCTTTATAGAAAAGAATCCTGTGCTCTAGAGTTCTACTAGAGCTCAGAAGATTGCCATTATATATTTAGAGGCCCTCCTCTTCCCAAAGACCAGTGTTCAGTGCAGTGTTCAGTGCAGTATCACAGAACATGGCCACAAAGATTACATTTAACCCCGAATTCCCCATGCCTAGAAAAAGTGAAATTAAAAGGTAGTGGTACCTAGTAGAAAACAAATGAGCTTTGTATTTTGATTGGCTACTTGTCAACTCTGTAACCTGGGCAAGTTTCAGGACTATTTTTTAATACTAAAAATTTTCATAAAGAACCTATACACTGTAGATCTTCAACAAATGTGGCATTATTAACATGTACTGAATATTTTTGAACAAATGTGGTTTAATTAAGGGCAAACATCTACGTCAATAAATTTGCAAATTCAATCCTCCAAGACCATGGACTCCTTTAGTTCAGAACATACTGGAATTTATGAATGTCTTCATAGAAGAGTAGCAACACCAGACAGAGCATCTTTCCCTCTTCCCCAAAATATGGTATATGGTACTTGGTCAGAATTTGTAGACATCATATAGTAGCAGAAACCCAGTAGGATCCAGAACTATATAGATCTTGGCTCCCAGAGACCCCCCAAAAAGCAAAAGGAAAATGAAAAGTGTGGGATTATGAAAGCAAAAGGGAAAGAGAATATCAAGAAGTAAGGCATTGTTTAAACAGCAGTTATTATGTGTATGGCACCCTGTGAGGTGCATGTATTCTAATCTTTGCAGAGGTGGAGACTGTTAGAAACTTGAATTCAAAGATAAATACCTATTAGGTTTTTGCAACAGGGTGGTAATTGCTCTAAGTTATCTCAGTGCATTTCTGATTGCAAAAGTGAGCTTGCAGTGGATGGTGAAGGAATAATAGGTTAAGTATAGAAGACTGAATAAGTTTGAGCATGAAGATGAGGGGTATGCAGAGTAAAGGGAACATAGATTTGGGCATGTTTAAATGTTAATGAAAAGGACTGAGGGGAAAAGCCTTTTTGTTCTGGATAAATTTCAGTCTTCCTTTGAAGTTTCCTCAAATTTACTCCTTTTTGCTGCTTTTTAATAAGTTACTATGGAACCTTATTTCCCCCATCCTTCTTTTTGAGGCCCATTAGCAAGATCAGTGGTAAGCATTTTGGAGGATGGACCGCTCTAGGTGGAGTTCTGTCCTTACCACTTACTAGTTGTCTCTCTAGCCAGTTGCTCTAGAGGAGATAAGGCACTTGGAGACAGTTTAAGTGATCAACTCGAGGTACCTGTGCTGAATAAGAAACTGAATAAGGCTCCTACATGACTGACAAATAAGAGGAAAACAGGCCTCAAGAGAAGAGGATTTGATTGTATTTGAAGAACTGTCACAGTGGGAGGGAGAGCAAGAAATTGCTGCTATCTGGAAGGTATTCAGAGAGAATGGGTTATAGGAGCTTGCAGGTTAAGTGTGAGTAGTCATTACTGATGAAGTCTGGAGTGAGAGCATCAGAATGAAATGTTGGAGTGGAATAGTCTCAGGAGCTCAGGTCCGTGATGTAAGAGAATGCTGTTTGGGGTGAGCTGTAACTTGGAACACATCCAGAACATTTGCAGTGTTGGGACTCGGTGTGAAAGGAGCTCATGAGCTGGGAACACAGATCGTCACTAGCTATGTAGGGCTTGTGACAAGAAATGAGAAGACAAAAAGACCTGGATGGTGGCATATTCCAAGTGCGTGTGCTTCAGGAGTAATGATGTGTTGGGAGCAGTGTAATAACAATGTTTTATGGACTGAGGTATATGTTGGATGTTGGTAGAGGAGAGAAGGCATGACAAGAGTTGCCAGTACTTAGTAAGAGCCTAGACTATGCCAGGCAATAGATGAACTCCTACCTCCTTTAATCCATACTGTGATTCTCTGAGGGTGATCCAGAGCTGCTCCTTTAGGAGAACAAATTGAGGCTCAGAGAGATGAATTGCCTTTATTTCTGACAGCTCATAAGTGGTGGGACTGGGAGTAACTCTGGAAATGTGGAAGAAACCTACAGTGATCTGTATTAGAGGAATGTTTTTATGACAGCAAAACATATTGCAGGGGGCACCAAGTCAGTACTGAGTCTAACTGTGGGGCTTCAACGTGTGTTTGTTGAATTAATCTATATTTTTATGGGTATTTCATTTTCTAATCTTTTGTCAGTCTTGTTTGTTCCTATATATTTTTTAAAGATTTATTTTTATTTTAGAGTGTGCTGGGGGAGGGGGAAGGACAGAGAGAGACAGCATCTTAAGCAACTCCTTGCTGAGCATGGAGCCCTACATGGGGCTGGATCTCACAACCCTGAGATCACACCACCTGAGCCGAAATCAAGAGTTGGATGCTTAACCAGACCACCAGGTGCCCCTTTCATATTCTTTTGATGTTTTTTTCCCCCCACTGAAGCCTGAGTATTGATCTGTGAACAAGATGACAGATGGGTCATCATCTTCCTTCTTCCCTGATTTTGGGCTGCTGTTGTATTTGGAGGAGCTAAACAAAGAGGAGTTGAATAAATTCAAGTCATTTCTAAAGAATGAGACTGTGGAGCCCAGGTCCTGCCAGATACCCTGGGTTGAGGTGAAGAAGGCCAAGCGAGAGGACCTGGCTAATTTGATGAAAAAATATTATCCAGGAGAGCAAGCCTGGGATGTGGCTCTCAAAATCTTTGGCAAGATGAACCTGAAGGATCTGTGTGAGCGGGCAACAGCAGAGATCAACTGTGAGTGATGCTTGCAACCTCTCTGGGGCTGGGGGAAAGATGTGCTTCTGGAGCCCCATCAGCATGATTCTATGAAAGGGACTTGGGGGGCAGCCCCGGTGGCGCAGCGGTTTAGCGCCGCCTGCAACCCAGGGCGTGATCCTGGAGACCCGGGATCGATTCCCACGTCAGGCTCTCTGTGTGGTGCCTGCTTCTCCCTCTGCCTGTGTCTCTGCCTCTCTCTCTGTCTTTATGAATAAATAAAATAAAATCTTAAAAAAGGAAATTATTAAAAAGAAAGGGACTTGGGGATTAAACCATTGTTGGATCATTTGAGAAACACTGAAGAGGCAGGAGGATTTTGAGTACTGTTATTCAGTGTGGCTCCTTAATTGGCGGGGTGGGGGGTGGGGACAGAATTCATCCATTTTGTACTAATTAGGATGACTAAAGGAATTGAGTGATAAGAATTGTCCTGAACGGCAAATAGTCGTAGGTTGCACTAAATTTTAAGTACCTTCAGATAGGACTTAAGATCTTCACTGAAATATGAGGAATGGGCAAAGCGTAAGCCAAGCTGATATTTCTAGTCATTTCTAAGTATAAAATATTATAGACCTCAAAAATTTCTTATGTACTTTACAAAGCTTTACAGCTACAAAATTGTATTCATTATTTCCTAGGAGCCTCACCATATCCCTGTGAGGTCAGTGTAGACAAGGAAACAGGCTTAGACTACAGCACTTGCCCTGGAGTTACAGAATGGAGAGCCTGGCAAGAGGTCCCTTCCTTGGTGCTGTTGACACCACCTCACTTCCTTAGCTAAGCTAGGGGGAGTCTGAGGCTCTGTTTGCTCCAGTTTTCTTGAGCCCAGATGTCATAGAATTAGACCACTGAGGACCATTTTGACCCCTGTTTGGCTATCACTAAAGCTCTCCTTGTGTATGGTAAATCTCACAATCCTGTTGGAACCTGTCTCAGGGACAGCCCGGACCATGGTAACAGAAGGTGCCAAGACACAAGAGGAACAAGATGATCAGGAGGCAGTGCAAAGTGAGTAGATGTTTTGTGATTTGGGAGGAGTTTGAAGGTTTGAAGTGTGCTAGAGATTTATGCCCCAGGGAGACAGTTGTTGATGATTATTCAAAGAGACTCAACAAAACTGACTCTGTAGCCAAGGTCAAAATCAGGGCCGTGTTAACTCAAGGCCTCAGTGAGAATAGTATTTGGAAAAGCCCAGTCGTGAGTTTACAGTCTGATGAAGGAGGGTATATTCATGTATTATTTTACAGAATTAGAGTCTGAGTTTGGCAGGGACTACTGGGCTTATCACATCTCTCTTCCTTTAGAAATGATTCTGTACTGGGTGTTATTCTGTATGTTGGCAAATTGAACACCAATAAAAAATTATTTTAAAAAATGATTTATTTGAGTTGTAGGAGAGGTAACCAACTAGTCCATATAGAATGTAATTCGTAGAACCAAGTCTTCTCAGTCTTGGTTCAATACTGTTTCCATTCCCCCGACTTTGTTTTAAATTCTATGTAGTTGAATTCTATTTTATATAAATGGAATTACAGTAGAAAGAAAATTGGACCATGTGGGAAATCCATTCTTACCCCAGCTATGGCTGCTTTCTGATGGGCCACATTATTTCATTCAAGAAGTTAATTGAGAGCTACTTTATTCTAAGCACTAATAAAAATTGCTCATTGTGTTAAATGATCTCGAAGATAACTTTCTGCTTTGACTTTAATTTCTGATTCAGTATGGGGAAATTTTATTCCTGTGGTATTTATTACTGGCCATAAATTTAGGAAATCAGGATTCCACCTCATAGAAGTTGACTGTTAGAAGATTTGGAAGATAGATAAAACTCTAACAAAGAAAGTAAAAATCATCCTCATAATCCCAATTTTCTTTTAAGTACTGTACTAGATAATACCATAAAGAGTATCTGTAATACAAACTGTCTTCTGGAGGAGATCTAAGAGATGTAAATTAGGAATATAGGTGAGGTTTGGTGGGGTGAGCCCCAGAGCTGATGACCAAGAAAGAATTCTTGAGAGTGCAAAAATGATGGTTTTATTTAAAGCACAAGGACAGGACCCATGGGCAGAAAAGAGCTGCTACCGCAGGGTTATGAGCGGTGGCTGATTTTATATAACCTGGGAGTTGGAAGAGGTAAGGAAAATTCTTTCAAAAGCCTCGGTGTCCATTGAAAGATGAATGGATAAAGATGTGGTCTGTGTATACAACGGAATATTACTCAGCCATTAGAAATAGCAAATACCATTTGCTTCGACGTTGATGGAACTGGAGGGTATTATGCTGAGTGAAATAAGTCAATTGGAGAAGGACAAACATTATATGGTCTCATTCATTTGGGGAATATAAAAAATAGTGAACGGGAAAGGAGAAAAAATGAGTGGGAAATCTCAGAAAGGGAGACAGAACATGAAAGACTCCTAACTCTGGGAAATGGACTAGGGGTGGTGGAAGGGGAGGTGGGCGGGGGGGTGGGGGTGGCTGGGTGATGGGCACTTGAGGGGATGAGCCCTGGGTTTTATTCTATATGTTGGCAAATTGAACACCAATACAAAATAAATTTATAAAAAAAAAATTTTTTTTTGTATGCTAAACAGGACCTACAAGCTTTGGAGGCCTTGCCATTGTCTAGGTGTGGTTATTTTTTCCTCTAGTAAGCATTAAGATAGTTGGGAGTTTCCTCCTGGAAGTTAGGTTATTGATTAAGTAATGCTTTTTTTCTTGTAAATTTCTTTTTTTTTTAATTTTTATTTATTTATGATAGTCACAGAGAGAGAGAGAGGCAGAGACACAGGCAGAGGGAGAAGCAGGCTCCATGCACCGGAAGCCCGACGTGGGATTCGATCCCGGTTCTCCAGGATCACGCCCTGGGCCAAAGGCAGGCGCCAAACCACTGCGCCACCCAGGGATCCCCCTTCTTGTAAATTTCTAAGACATTTTGTAAGCTCGGGGAGACTTGTGTCTATAAGACTATAATTTCTATAAGTTAACTATTTCTCCTTTCACTTAGCTTTAGGACAGCCAGGAGTGCTTGAGGAATGTCCGACCTAGCCCACCTGGTGGGCGGGGGTCCCTTGTGGGGTGTCAGCTTCTGCTTTGTCCTCAGCTAGCCTTCTGTTCCTCCTCATAAGCATAATCTAGGGATCCCTGGGTGGCGCAGCTGTTTGGCGCCTGCCTTTGGCCCAGGGCGCGATCCTGGAGACCCGGGATCAAATCCCACGTCGGGCTCCCGGTGCGTGGAGCCTGCTTCTCCCTCTGCCTATGTCTCTGTCTCTCTCTCTCTCTCTCTGACTATCATAAATAAAAAAATTTCAAAAAAAAATAAGCATAATCTAGTGGGACTTGAACTGTTACATCTTTATACTGAATGCCCTGATAGAACAAAGAATTATTTACTTAAAAAATAATTATAGCTTGTGAGATATGCTGTGAATGAAAATATACCATGTTTTGAGAATTATGAAAGAGAACTATTCTAGCATTGGGGTTCACAGAAGTTTCCTCTGAGATAGTGACGTTTCAGATTGAAAGAAGTAATTGGATTTAGGTGAAACTCTTTCCATTTCCATCTGGTTTGACACTTGGGAATATTTTTTAAACCTCCAGTACAGTTAACACAGAGTGTTATATTTCATATATATATATAGGTATAATATAGTGATTCAACAATTCTGTACATTACTTAGTGCTCATCATAAGTGTATTCTTAATCTTCATCCCCTTCACCTATTCCATCCATTACCCACCCCACACCCCCTGCCCTGTGACCATCAGTTTTCTATAGGTAAGGGTTTGTTTCTTGGTTTATCTTTTTTTTTTTTTGTCCACTTATTTTGTTTCTTAAATTCCACATGAGTGAAATCATGTGGTACTTGTCTTTTTTGGACTTATTTTACTTAGTATTATATTCTCTAGATCCTTTCATGTTGTTGCAAATGGCAAAATTTCATTTTTATGGCTAATATTCCATTATATACATCATTTATTTATCCCTTCATCTTTCAATAAAAACACTTAGACTGCTTCCACGTCTTGGCTATTGTAAGTAATGCTGCAATAAACATAGAGGAGCATATATCTTTTTGAATTAGTGTTTTCATATTCTTTGGGTAAATACCCAGGAGTGGACTTACTGATTCATATGGTAATTCTATTTTTAATTTTTGGAGGAATCTCCAATGGTCTTCCACAGTGGCTGCATCAGTTTGATTCTCAATAATAGTGCACAAGGGTTTCTTTTTCACCATATCCTCACCAACACTTTTTGTGTTGATTTTTAGTCTGACTGGTGTGAGGTGGTAACTCAGTATGGTTTTGATTTGCATTTCCCTAATGATGAGTGATGTTGAGCATCTTTTCTGTGTCTGTTGGCCATCTGTATGTCGTCTTTGGAGAAATGTCTGTTCATGTCTTCTGTTTTTTTTACTGGATTATTTGGAGGGTTTTGGTGTTTTAGAAGTGTGTGTGTTTTGTTTTGTTTTTAATATTAAGTATTCTCTACACCCAACATGGGGCTTGAATTTACAACCAAGAGATAGTTGCATGCCCCACTGACTGAGCTGGCCTGGCTGGCTTTTTTTTTTTTTTTTTTTTTTTTTAAGAATTTATTCATGAGAGGCAGAGACTTAGGCAGAGGGAGAAGCAGGCTCCCTGTGGGGAGCCTCATGTTAGACTTGATCCCAGGACTCTAGGATCACAACCTTAGCCAAAGGCAGATGCTCAACCACTGAGCCACCCAGGTGCCCCTAGAAATTCTTTATGTAGTTTGGGTACTAATCCTTTATCAGATCTATCCTTTGCTACTATTTTCTCCCATTCAGTAGATTGTTTTAGTTTTGTTAATTGTTTCCTTTGCTATGCAGGATTTTTATTTTCATGTGGTCCCAGTAGTTTATTGTATTTTAAAAGTTTTATTTATTCATGGGGGGGGGCAGAGACACAGGCAGAGGGAGAAGTAGGCTCCATGAAGGGAGCCTGACATGGGACGAGAGAGAGAGAGAGAGACAGACAGACAGACAGACAGACAGAGGCAGGCACAGGGGCAGGCTCCATGCAGGGAGCCTGACGTGGGATTCCATCCCGGGTCTCCAAATCACACCCCGGGCTGCAGGCGGTCCTAAACTGCTGTGCCACTGGGGCTGCCCCAAGTAGTTTATTTTTGCTTTTGTTACCCATGCCTGAGGAGACATATTTAGAAAAAAGATTTAGAATATTTTTCTTTTAAAAAAAAAATTCTTCAGGCTATGCTTCAATGTTCATTTCTTTTAATGTTTTACTATAAAGTGGATTATTTTGATCTGTAGATTGAGAGATGTCTTCAGGTCCTTCCTCACGGTCACTGTTAATGGTGTTCTTTCATTTGGGTGATGACTCTATCCTTCATATAGTTGTCCTTTTCTCCCTGTAGAGGAAAAGTACAAAGAAGAGAACATATTTCTTTTTTTTTGTTTTATTTAAATTTAAGTTAATGTACAGTGTATTGTTAGTTTCAAGGGGAGAAGTTAGTGATTCATCAGTTGCATACAACACCCAATACTCATTCCATCACGTGCCCTCCTTAAGGCCCATCACCAGTTACCCCATCCCCCCACCTCTCCTCCAGCAACCCTCAGTTTATTTCCTAGTCTAGCATCTCTTATGGTTTGCCTCCCTCTGTTTTCATCTTATTTTTCCTTCCTTTACCCATGTTCATCTGTTTTGTTTATTAAATTCTACATATGGTATTTGTCTAAGAGAACATATTTCTAGAATGAATCTAATTTTTACTTTTTACCCCAAATTCATTCTTATGCATGATCAATTTTGTTTTTTCAGTTTCTTATGCAAGTTTTAAATCTATAGGAACTTTTTTTGGTTTACATTCTTAGCTAAACCAGCTGCACTTTGATTTGAGCCAAGTCCAGTGTTAACACTGCAGTTCATAGAATTTGCTTTGATTATGTGTTTTCTTTCTTCCTGCTGCATTCTGACTTAGGTGATGGAACAGAATACAGGATCCAAGTAAAGGAAAAATTTCGTATCATGTGGGATAAGAAGTGTTTGTTTGGGGGACCTGAAGATTTCCATCCTGGAATTGCTCAGGAAGATCGAGAACTGTTGGAACATCTGTTTGATGTGGATGTGAAAACTGGCGAGCAGCCACAGACAGTTGTGCTCCAGGGGGCTGCTGGAGTTGGGAAGACCAGCTTGGTGAGAAAAGCAATAGTAGATTGGGCTGAGGGCAATCTCTATCAGCAGAGGTTTAGCTATGTTTTTTATCTCAATGCAAGAGAAATCAACCAGTTGAGAGAACGGAGCTTTGTTCAACTGATATCCAAGGACTGGCCCAGCACAGAAGGCCCATTGAAAGGATAATGACCCAGCCGAGTAGTCTCCTTTTTATTATTGATAGTTTTGATGAACTGAACTTTGCCTTTGAGGAACCGGACTTTGTGCTATGTGAAGACTGGACCCAGGTACACCCCGTGTCCTTCCTTATGAGTAGTCTGCTGAGGAAAGTAATGCTCCCTGAGTCCTTTTTATTGGTGACAACGAGACTCACAGCTTGTAAGAAGCTAAAGCCTTTGTTGAAGAACCAGCATTCTGTAGAGCTGCTGGGTATGTCCAAGGATGCAAGAAAAGAATACATTTACCAGTTCTTTGAAGACAAGAAGAGGGCCTCGCAAGTATTCAGTTCACTAAGAAGCAACGAGATGCTTTTTAGCATGTGTAAAGTCCCCCTGGTATGCTGGGCCATCTGTACCTGTCTGGAGCAGCAAATAGAAATGGGTGGTGATGTTTCATTAACCTGCAAAACAACAACAGCTCTGTTCACCCGCTATATTTCTAGCCTGTTCCCACCAGTAGATGGAATCTGTCCTAGTCTGCCCAATCAAACCCAACTGAAGAGCCTATGCCACTTGGCTGCCAAAGGAGTGTGGACTATGACTTCTGTGTTTTATAGGGAAGATCTCAGAAAGCATGGGTTAACTAAATCAGATGTCTCGATTTTCCTGGACATGAATATTCTTCAAAAGGACACAGAGTATGAAAATTGCTATGTGTTCACTCACCTGCATGTTCAGGAGTTTCTTGCAGCTATGTTCTATATGTTAAGAGACAGTTGGGAGACCAGGAATAATTTATTTGAATCTTTTGAAGATTTGAAGCTATTGCTTGAAAGCAAGAGTTCTAAAGATCCCCATTTGATGCAGATGAAATGCTTTTTGTTTGGCCTTTTGAATGAAGATCTACTAAAACAACTGGAGACAACTTTGAAATGTAGACTGTCACTGGAGATAAAAGGGAAGATCCTTCAGTGGCTGGAGATACTGGGAAACATCGAATGTTTTCCAGCAGAGCTAGAATTTCTGGAATTGTTTTTCTATCTGCATGAGACTCAAGATGAAGCATTTATAAGGCAGGCAATGAGATCTTTCCAAAAGGTGGTCATTGATGTGTGTGGGAAAGTCCATTTGCTTGTGTCTTCATTCTGCCTTAAGCACTGCCAATGTTTACAGACCATTAAACTATCTGTGACTGTGGTATTTGAGAAGACGTTAAACTCCAGTCCCCCAGCTGAAATGTGGTAAGTGGGGAGGTGCCCTGTCAGGGGAGTGAGGGGAAGTAAATTTCATCAGAGGGAGGAAAGGAGAATTGTTTAGCTGAGGTCCCAGAGCTGAGATTACCCTTCAGAGTTGTCCCACCTTGAGGTAGGGAGGCCAAGCACTAAAATCCCTTATTGACTAGTCATGGCTTCTGGTGAGGAAAGGACAAAATCTAGCCTGTAGTGACTCTCCTGGCCTGAGGGCCATCCCAAGAAAGGGGCGTGGCTGAGGGCAATCCCCTGGCAACACTTTCAACAACTAGAAATAATCTTTAGTCCTCAGGGAAGGATGTGACCTAGCACAAGGTTGGATCCACTATGATACGTATATTTAACTTTTAAAAAGAATGTACTATGGAAGAGCCAGGGACCAGGAATTTCATGCTGAAGCTAATTTACACAGGGTATCTGGGTGATGTTCCTCTGTAAGCTACCAACCTAGCTCACCTTCTCCATTGCCTAGATGTAGGTCAGCCTTTGTAGTTCATGAAAGATCTCAGCCCTTTAACCTCAGTGGGGAAAGTCTGATTTGGGTAAGAAATAGTAGGAGCTGAATGTATATTTTGAAAGAATAAATGAATCTTTAGTGTTTGATGCCTATATTACCCTCTTCTCTTCCATGAGTTGGCTTTTCTGTCATTCTCGGTCTATGTCTAAGGGAAGGATTAAACTATGGGATTAGCTCTAGATTTAACTAAAATTGAGGGCTTACTGTATGGTATATAGTACATGGGATATTTAACCAATCATCCAGTGTGATGCTGGTCAAAAGCATATCTCCACTTATTTTTGAGATTACAAAACTCTGATTCAGAGAAGTTCACCTAGAAAGCGTACCATTATTGATTCAAGCACACATCAGATAACAGCTAGCATCTGCTTGACACGTGCCTTGACAGTCTTCTGAGTCCCAACTCAATTAGTCTCAACAAACCCAGGAAGATGCTGTTATTTCCATTTTCCTAGTAGAAACCCTGAGGTACCAAGAAGATCTCAACTTCACTGAGGTCACACATCTGATTAAGTCCTTGGTTTTCTAGCTTGACCCCATGTTCCCTCACTGCCATTACACACAGTTGCAGAACCATGTCTCCTATAAGGACATACGTTTTTATTTCTCTTCTGCTGTGGACATAGGAATTGTAGGCTGGGATGCTGTGACCTTTACTGTCCTTGGGGTGTTGTAAATAACCTCCTTCAGTCTGTTATCTCAATTCTGACTTCATAGTTCTTTTTAATGCTGTGATTGAACCCAGGACATTAGAAGGTATTTTGTGTTTTGTGCCTAATATTAGGAAGGCATTCTGACCATTATATTGCTGGTCCTCATGCTACCTTCCCCTCACCTATGTTGTAGTGTTACCTAATATTAGAGTTGGCATTGTTGCCAAAATAAACCTGAGATATCAGTGTTTTAAGTGGCACATTATAGATGGGTCATTGTATTCTACAAAATGACAACATTATAAACTTAACAGCCTCTCTGTCTTGTTCACCATAATATCCTATGGCATTTCTACATAGTAAGCACTTGAATGTTTGAATGATTATTGCCTAATTTTGTCAAATTTAAGACCTCAGGTGATGTAGAAACCAGAACTCTGCAATGTTATTCAATCCAAGGTAAGTAAGGTATGGGGGAATCAATATTTATGGAGTGCTGAAGGAGTTCAGGATATGCCACCTCAAAATATGCCACTTTTCCATAAGAAGTCTTTTGAGCTGAAGACCTAAGAGCTCCTGAAACCCCTTACCTGCCTAGAAGCAAAGCCTCTGAAAAGAACTCCACTGTCCTAAATCTTCTCCCTGGAAGGAGTTTCTCTACTTTCTTCTTGGAGACAGAAGTTGGCACCACACCCTTGTAGACATAGTCACAAACTATCCTGTCCTATCTGTTCTCTGAAGGGTCCATTTATCTTCCCAACAGATCATTTGTTTTTTCACAAGTGCCTTTACTTCCTCTGCCTTTTTCCTGCTAATTTAGCTATACAAAGCCCAAATTCTACCTTTGAGTTACTCCTCACTGAACGTCACCCACAAGTATCCACAATGCACAAGCTAGTACAACTTGTATGTTTTTCTCTTGTTAACCTGACTTTTGGCATTCCAATTTACAAGTCCCTAGCTAGAAGCTGGGACGACACAAGGAAAAAGTTTTTTCCCCTCCTACAGCAGCTGTTTGTATCAGGCAACATGCTAGACTTCATATATTTTAATATGAATAAGTGCAACTACCAATTGTTAGCAAGTATTTCCCATTGTAAATGCTAAGCATTTTCTGTAGATTGTTTTACTAAATCTTCACAGAAATCTTAAGAAATCGTGTTATCTTCATTGTTTAAGATGAAGAAGCTGAGGCTCACATAAATTAGTGCCAGAATCACCCAGGTTAGCAAATGGCAGAGTTGGGACTCAGGACTGTTTTTGTTCTAGAGTGTACGCTTATAATCATAGGGTGTTCCTCTGTCTTATTCCTTGTTAACCTTCGTTTATAATGGGCTTATTGAAAGTATGCCTCATAGTTTATTATACAACATTTACATTTATTTATTTATTATACAACATTTACAAAATGCTTTTGTGTATGCACTGAACTTGACTATTAGATCCCTGCAATCCTGCAAAAGGGGATGGAATTCCCATTTCTTAGATGAAGAAAGCTTAGAGTTCTCAGAACTGATGTGACTTACCTAAAGTAATGTAGTTTAGAAAACTGGAGAACTAGAGCTCATAACCCATGGTTCTTAATCCCCACTCCGTGCCTGAATCTCTACCCACTACTCTTATTCTTATACTTTAAGTCTTAGATTATTTTTCTCCTTGATACTGGCTCTTTGGATATTTGAAGACCTCTGTCATCCTTCCTAAGCCGCCTCATCCAAAATGAAGTCTCTCTAATGTAATTTTGTGTGTGAGGGAATCATTGGGGAAGCATAGCCTCCTGGAGTGCCAGGAAGACGACTTTTGAGTGGACTGTGCCCATTCCAGACCTGCACTGATGCATTCGCCATTTCCAGAATATACTTTCACCCAATACCATCTTCTGAGAATTGCCTGGGCTGAAATAGATACATTGGTCTTGTCTTTTTCTCAATTATTTAGGCAAAAGGATGGTGGTAGCATTTTTCATTGTTGGCAAGATCTCTGTTCTGTGCTTCATACAAATGAGCACTTGAGAGAACTGGACCTGTGTCATAGCAACCTTGATGAATTAGCCATGAAGACTTTTTATCAAGAACTGAGGCACCCAAACTGTAAACTACAAAGACTATTGTAAGTTTGGCATGAGAAAATTTCATGAAATTATTTCAACTTTCTTTGTCCTACCTCCCACTATTACTTATTAGGGGGATCCAATGAATACTTAAAACTCACTGTGTAAAATACCTAAGGACAGCCATCGTATAAGCCTCTGGGGATGTGGAAGCAGACCTAGTTTGTTCTGGGAAAGATTGTATGGAGTGTAGCAGCTGTTGATGTGCATTTTTTTGAGGCTTGATAAGGAATTTTCTAGTTGAAGAACAAAGAGCTAAGGCATTCTAGGCAGCTCAACAGAGTATTTTCAAAGATAAATTCTGGGGGCACCTGAGTGACTCAGTGGTTGAGCTTCTTTCTGCCTTTGGCTCAGGTTGTGATCCTGGGGTACTGGGATAGAGTCCTGCATCAGCCTCCCCACAGGGAGCCTGCTTCTCTCTCTGCCTATGTTTCTGCCTTTCTCTCTGTGTCTCTTATGAATAAATAAATCTTCAAAACAAAGATAAGATTTTTTAAAGATTTTTTTATATTGAATAATTGACATTTAATAAAATGCACAGATAATTGACATTTAATAAAATGCACAGATCTGGTTAAGTTTTGACAATTGCATACACCTATGTAAGCAATACCCAAAATTAGATGGAAAATATATCCCCTCCGGAAGTTTCCTTCTACCTTATTCTATTCAACTTTCTTACCCTATGCAGTCTCTGCAGCAACCACCTTCTTACCTTTTGTCACTATAGATTAGGTTGTTCTGTTCTTAAAAATTGGGATTGTTTCATATAGTTAGTATGTACTTGTGTCAGTATTTTGCTCAACAAAATATTTTTGAAAATTTACCCACATGTTAGTTGCATGCTTTAATAGTTCATTGCTGAGGAGCATGCCATTGTATGATATACTGCAACTCCTTCTCTTTTGAATAGACCCCTGGGCTGTTTCCAGTTTTTGGCTATTATGAATAAGGCTGCTATGACTATTCTCGTATACACTTTGTGTGTGACTCAGGTCTTCATCTCTTAGGTTAATATTTCGGAATGGAATTGCTATTTCACAGATGGATGTTAACTTGTTAGGAAATTGCCAATGAGCTCTTTAGAGTGGTTGTACCATTTTTCAGTTGTACTAGCAATATATTAAAGTCCCTGCTGCTCCTCATCCTTACCGACACTTGCTATTTCAGTCTTTATTACATCTTAATTTGATTCTACAGACCCTATCACTTCTTTATAGTGGCTGGTTTACACTTCTGTCTCCTTGTCTACTGGCTCTACTAGGAGCTGGAGCTGAGCCTATTCTGTATTCAGTGCCCATCCATGTGCTCAAGGTCTAATTGGTGTTAAGTAATATGTACTGAATGCTGAACAAATGATTAGCACTGGAGATTGTTCTTTTTTTTGGGGGGGGGGTGGAGGGGTGGGAGGACAGGCTTCTCCCTAAATATGTCCCTTGGAATCTGTTTTTAGTGAGATTGACCTTCGGTTTCAAATAATCAGATTTGGCCTGGTTTTACACATAGATGTAGTAGGTGACAGCACAGATGTCAATATTAAGGGGTTCCTGGAAATCCTTTTCCTTTACCCCCAAACATCTCCCCTACATCTCCCTTTCACTGAATGTCACCAGTCTAAAGCCCTAACAATAGCTACTGCCTTTTTTTGGGCTAAAAGGCTTCCTCTTTTACAATGTGAGGGCTTCTTGGGAGGACACCACAAAGGCTGAACTTAGTCTTTCCTCCACAGTGGAATGGCCTTGCTTCAAGTCCCTCTTCCTTAACACATGAAATTGTACTTTCAACTTGTATTTAGTGAGTGCATTAGGCACTTTTACCAGATGATGATGATTAGTGCCATAAACCCCAGGTAAAAGCTGTTTTCTTGGGCTTGGCCAGAGGGAGGGTGAGGGTGAAGGGTAGGTAGTGGGCAAAAGGGAGGAGAGGTGATGTTACAAAGGGATGTTCCGAACAGTTGGTGAGCAGTGTAAACATGCAGAGACACTTATGGAAGAATCAGATATAGCTAACAGTCACTGAGTAGCAGATAACAACTAGGAAGAAATATGGGTGTATTTAACTTCCTCCCATATTTAGCTTTGGACTATCTCTGTACACCTTGCCAAGTCCATGAGGTGACATGTTTTGCAGTAATCTGTTTTGCTAATCATTTACATCAGTTGATATTAACTATGAACTTACCTTGGGTTATTTAAAGCATGCAATATTGTGAATTAGTGCTATAATTAAAGTATTTGGAATATCCTCCATTATTTGTGGTATACTGGAATGGAGTTCAAAAACTCCTCTTCTGGTTTTCCTGATATTACCTTCTCTTACTTCAAGGTCAAAAAAAGTTGAGAGTATCAGTTGTCAGGATGTAAGGGACACCTAAGTTGTAGCCCAATTGTTTTTCTAAGCAACGTCCTGAAACTGATTTATGACTACCCATGAAATATGAGAAACTAAAAGTAAGATAAGAAATGACAAGAATATTTAGATATATAAGAGTTGAGTTTGAAAAAAAAAAGGGGGGGGTTGGGAATGCTCTAACCAGGACAGAGATAATTTTGTTAATTCCTCCTGCATATTTTTCCTCTAAAGGATGAGATTTCTTTCTTTCCCGGGTGGTTGTCAGGATATTGCTAGTTCTTTGACTCACAACCAGAATCTGATGCATCTTGACCTGAAAGGGAGTGATATAGGGGACGATGGAGTAAAGTCATTATGTGAAGCCTTGAAACACCCAGAGTGTAAACTACAGAATCTGAGGTAAGTTGTGAGTTGTTTTTTTGTTCTTATTATAACTGAACAGATAGACTCTTTTATCCAGATAGATTCTTACAGCCTGGATTTGCTGTTCACAGGACCAGCTTCAGTCTATTTTCACTATATGGAATAGCAGGAATCCGTGATTTCAGAGTGACTTCCTTCTGACAAGACTTTTAACTGCTCCCATCCCCCCACTGAAGACAGTCCCCACTCCATTGTACAGTTCTGTGTCTCCATTTCCTAAATCAAAAAAAAAAAAAAAACCCAGAATTTATAAAGATTTAAATATTTTCATATTTAAGTACAGCCATATATATATTCATTGTATCTTTGCTTATAAGAATGCATGAATGGTAACTGGGGGCAGAGTTAGAGGGCTCAGTTTTACTTGTTTTGATAACTAATTACTCTTAAAATTGCAACTCCTTGACCAATACAAAAAGTTGAGGAAGAAAACAGCAGCTGTTAGTTGTCAAGGTGCTCACTTGCTCTCACACACTGGATCCTAGTAGTGGGTCTGTTTTTTTGTTTTGTTTTGTTTTTTGTTTTTTCCCCTGAAAGTGAGGGTTGTCGATCCTACTTGGTCCCCACATTGTATGACCAATTTCAAGGGAGCTCTCCTTTTCCAAATAAAGGTTTTTAGTTCAGTTTCTTACAAAGTAAAACTAAAACCAAACAAGAACAAAATAAAGTCACTGTAGTAAATTTTACCTTAGAAATTTTCATAATCCATGGACTCACTTAGGGGTGGGGAAGAGCTGAAAGGGGGGGTGGAGTAGGGTGGGCAGGGGGCAAGACAGAACCTTGACGCATGAAAGGCCAAGATAGGTTTGTACTTGTCAGAAGCAAATTGTAATCTATATGTAGAAAGCACAAGTAAAATCCAGAACAAGATCTTTTTACTAATAGGGAGATGAACTAAATTACCTTTGGGAATTCTTTAAGCTTCACCATGTTTTGTAGGATGAAATTCACTAATAGCATGTCTGGAAAGTTGAATGCTTCTTGAACATGGGTTGAGTTCAGTTATTAGGCCAGGTTGGGGTATCGGCTTTACCATCTGTGAAATAGTCTTAAGACCTTGTGAGGAATTTTCAGTCACCTGCAGCCTCTAGTCTAGAACGCAGGTGAGAAGTAGGTCATTGGTTCTTCCATCAAAAATGAAACACGTTAGTAGCAAAAAGCTATTAAATGGAGGGAAAGAGGTTTTCTTACAGTGGGAGCCATGGGTCCAAGACAAAAATGCCCTGGCACTTTATAGAGCAGCAGGCCTTGGTAAGATTTTTTATCAGTTGACTTTTTTTTTTAATATTTATTCATGAGAGAGAGAGAGGCAGATACTTAGGCTGAGGGAACCACAGGCTCCTTGCGAGGAGCCCAGTGTGGGACCCAATCCCAGGACTCTGGGATCATGACCTAAGAAAAGGTAGATGCTCAACCACTGAGCCACCCAGGTGCCCCTATCTGTTGACATTTGAACAGTGTTTTCCACTGCTAGCCTTCATGTAGACCCAGTTACTAGGCTTTCAAATAGGAAACCATCTATCTGGGTCAAAGAGTAGGGCTCCTTTTACCAGTAAGTAAAAGGTTTTGGTGGCAGAAGTCACTAGAGCTTCATAATAATTGAATGTCACATTATGTAGGATTGGATGTTCTCCCACGATGGGTGACCCCTAATTTACACTTTGAAGAAAGTTTCAGTTTTATGTTTGCATTAGACCTCATCACAGTTATGGACAGCTGACTGGTCACAGTAGTCTGGTTTGTGCATAGATCACGCTGAGCATTGTAGAGTTGCATTTTGATATTTATTTTCCCAGTGATTCTAGATGATGTGAGCAGTGAGAGTATTGATAAATTAGTAGGTCTTTGCCAGGCTGCCTCACAAAATATCTCCAATTACCATAGGAATTTTGCAAATTTAAACTATTTAAGAAAACTTTAAATTGCTGAGAGACTCCAATTAGCTTTTATACATGAGCATACTGGAAAAGTACAATCACTTTCATGTGATCTTTCACTGTAATATTTACTAAAGATTCCCCTCTAGAAGGGGAGAAAGATCCACTCAAGATCCTTGTGCTAATAACTTTTTCTTCTTCCTACGTGTGGTCCTGATAATAAAAGCCTTGGGCATATTAGTAATGCCACCTTGTGCAATTGTTGATGCCACCAAACAACCACCTGAAGAGTGCCAAAATGGTATTTTCTTTTTAAGATTTTATTTATTCATGAGAGACAGAGGCAGAGACACAGGCAGAGGGAGAAGCAGGCTTCTCACAAGGAACCGAAAGTGGGACTCTATCCCAGGACTCCCAGGTCATGCCCTGGGCCAAAGGCAGACACTTAACTGTTGAGCCACCCAGGCATCCCCAAAATGGTTTTAAAGCAAAACATTCTCTACATCTTCAAAGATTTTGAATTTAGAGGACTAATGTTTCAGAAAGGGTGGCATCTAAAATAGCTGCCAGGACAAACTGATTACTGATCAAGATAAGAAGGAAGGTGCCTGAGAATGAACCACAGCTTTGACTTTATTATTAACTAGAATAAATATTTTATAAGAGGTAAATAGTATATAGACCAGTGGAAAATTTTTGCTTTCCCAGGAGTTTGGAATCCTTCTAGTTTACTACAATTGTTTACATTCATGAAGGGTTCTAAAATGAGTTATAAATATGAACAGACTTTGGAAAAGGGAGAGTATACACTTTGAAGTCAGAACTTCTGCACCTGCACAGATTATCCAGCACACAAACTGGAGGTGAAACCTGAACTACTAGTGTTCTTTTCTTTATTGCAAAAATGTCTTCTACTCATTAACTTTAATAAACTTTATGTATACATCCACAGCTTCATAATAACACTACACAGGATTTAAATGAAATATCATTTAAAGATTTCAGCCCTAACTTCAAACATAAATAATAATGGAATATAAGAACACCTTGATTTTTGCTATCTTAATTTGAGTTGTAGGAAGAATAACAAATAGGTAAGAATGTGATTTATTTTCCCTTTGAAGTTTAACTTTTGTAGAGATTTTTAGAGAAACTATTTTTTAAAAAATATTACTCCAAGTTTCTAAAAATCAATGTTTGGAAACTATATTTAAATTAACATTAAAGACCGTATAACCACTGTTAAGTATACTTTTTTGGTATATTCCTCATTCAGAGGTTGATCCAGATAGTATGATATTTGCAATATTATCTGATTTTATGACTTACAAGATTACAACTTACAAAGATGTTGGTCATTTATGATATTAGATATTAACTCATTTTAATTATATATCCCAATTTATATTTGCATGCTTTTAAATATTAATATAAGTAATAATTATGTGACCTAGAAGGGAACTAAAAGAGATATAGGAAATTCTTTCTTTTAGATTCTTTTGTTAAAAATACAAAGCTGTGTATGATCTAGAAACTGTTTGCATTCTTATTTCTCATTATGGTAAATTCAGACATAAATCCCAATGACCTCTTGTAAGTCTCAAATTACAGAACAAATTAATTTACCTTATGATTTACCTTGATTTATAATGGGTCATGAAGCCTATCCTGTTCATCCAAAGGCTTTCCTTCTTGCAGGGAACAATTTCTATTACCATATTGTTTTAGAAACAACTCTCCTGCCTTCTTGCAATTTCTAATGACTATCAAAAGTCATAATAATCTTGTACTCAAATAACAAAAGATTTACAAAAGTCTTGGGCATCCTGGAAATGATACAGCAGTTTTGAGAAAACATTCACACAGTTGTTCTGAGGGCCTGGAGGGAGGGCCTGGGAGACCATCTTAGCTAAGGGAAGACTGGCCTCTCCGGCGATGCCTCTGGAATGGCAGTGTACTGATCCTGAGCTGCTAGCAGCACAGGAGAGCTTACTTCAGTGGGAAAAATCTGGCATCTTGCATCAGATAGAATCCTACCCCAGCCATGTCTCCAACATCAGGAGACCTTTATCCTTGAAACGTGGATTTCTTCTTCTGAATGCACTGCATCTAGGACCACCTGGTGGACCTATACCCATGGACAGCTTGTTAGAAAGACAGACCGAAATCAATGAGAACAAAATTATAATTGCTTGCTTTAATTTTAAAAATTATAATTTGTCTGGAAATTGTCAGCCCAGGCCCTTACCATAGGGGTACTATTAAGAGATAATTGGGTCATCGCTGCAGCAGGACCCAAATGTAAGTTAACATGTCTCCTCTGTTTGCTGACCCATATGCAGGGGGCCGTTTGGAATCTGCATCCTCAGCTCAGCTTTTGATTGAATCACTGGTGATTCAGGTTATATATTAATCTAATGGAGATAAGACCTTCAAACTCTAGGGAAAGTTATGCTTTTTAAAACTTATATGTGAGAGGAGAGTACTGGTGATCTTCTGATTGACAAAATCTGTTCCCTATTTGTAACATTTAGAAATTAAATATCAATTTGAAATAAGAGTGACACAGTATTTAAACAAACGATCAAAATTAGACTGATGAGTACTTATGAGTTGTTTTCCCAAGGCCTAGCAAAGGTTTTAGTCCTCTTGCTCTGTTTTTCAAGAGTGTCTATTAGTCACTGGTTGTAGCTCTTTTCCTATATAACTGTTACTTTTGCTCATATTAATCTTGTTTTCCCCTTCTTGGGGTATATCAAATTTATTTTCATGGATTTTTTTTTTTTTAATATTCATGAGAGAGACAGAGAGGCAGAGACACAGGCAGAGGAAGAAGCAGACTCCCTGCAGGGAGCCTGATGCAGGTCTGGATCCCAGGACCCTGGGATCATGACCTGAGCCAAAGGCAGAGGAACAACCACTGAGCCACCCACGTGTCCCTATTTTCATTGATTTTGTTTTTTATTGTCTGAAATATGGATTTCAGGTTTCCCTTGTCTTTAAACTATTGCACTTTTTTTTTCTTTTTAAATCTTAAACCTTCCTTTTCTCAGCCTGATTTCCACTTAGGATGTGTTCTTCAGAGAATTTGCATATTCCTATACATTTAAAACGTAAAACAAGCCATTCTAAACATTTTCTTCTGTTTCTGTTTTCTCTTTTTCATATGTGTACTTATCTTCTGTCCCTTAGTTAAGCTTTAATATTTTCTCCACATTGGAATCTTTTATCTGTCTAGAAGCGCTCCATCCAAACCCAGCGTTTCTCTTGTTTCTCTGCCTGCTTGGCTGCTGACAGACTTCCCTTTTGTATCACTCTCTTCAGGCTGCTGTAACCAAGTACCCCCTTAAAACAGAAATCTATTTCTCAAAGCTTTGGAGCCTGAAGTTCAAGATCAGGGTGCATTTCTGGTGAGGTTTCTCCCATTGGCTTGTAGGTAGCCCCCTTCTTGTGGTGTCTTCATGTGCCTTTTGCGTGTGTGTGCGTGCATGTTCTTGGTGCCCCTCTCCTAAGGGCACCAGGCCTGTTGCATCAGGGTCCCTCTTATGACCTCATGTAACCTTAATTATCTCCCTAAGGCCTGTCTCCACCTACAGTCACTTGGGAGTTTGGTGTTCCACGAAATTTGTATGTTGAAGCCACTTCAGTCCGTGACACCTTTTCAGGGCAAGTTGAAGTTTTCAGCCTTAGGCTGTGTCCTCAGTCATCTGTTGCAGTCTAGTTCTGGATTGAGGAGGGCAGCTCTTTCCTACCTATGGACACCCTTATTTTGATGAAGAGAACCAATTCCTGAGTAATGGAGTTGATACGTGCTTGGTTCAAAGAAGGAATTAGAGCAACTCCAGGTTTTTGGAACCTGCTGCCACCTGCCTTCTCTTGGAGCTGGTATCAGGCCCAGGCTCCTCCGAGCACAAATAGGAGTCTCTAAAAATTTGGGCTCTACAGGCACTTCTTCCATTCTTCTGCTTCCCTTCTTTATTTTTAGAAATTATTTTGTTTCTGACTCACTTATTTTTACTCTTAAGGACTGGGTTCCTCAGAAAACATGAATTGACTCCTATGAATAGGTGAGCTCTTAACAGTGGGAATCACACCTTTAGTTCCCGACTTCCTACCCCTTTGTTTCAGAAGTCAGGGTGTACACAGCATCTTAGTCCACCTTCTTCCAGGTTGTAGTTGGAGGAAATTCTTCCTGGCTTAAAAGATTATCATTTAAAAATATCTTTAGGGGGGACACGGGTGGCTCAGTGGTTGAGCCTTTGCCTTCGGCTAAGGACGTGATCCTGGAATACCAGGATCGAGTCCCGGCATCGGGGTCCCTGCATGGATCCTGCTGCTCTCTCTGCCTCTCTCTCTGTGTCTCTGTCTCATGAATAAATAAAATATTAAAAAAAAACCCCTAGGGGACAGTTGGGTGGCTCAGTCAGTTAAGCATCTGACTCTTGATTTCTGCTCAGGTCATGATCTGAGGGTTGTGGGATGGAGCCTCCTATCAGGCTCTGTGCTCAGCAGGGAGTCTGCTTGAGGAGTCTCTTTCTCTGTTGCCCACACATGCTCTCACATTCTCTCTCAAATAATCTTTAAAGAATATTTTTAGTACATTCATACCTAATTTCCATAAGGAATTGGAGAGGTGGAGATGGAAGAAACAAGCTTCCTATTCCTTCCTTTTCTAATCTGCTGTTAGAGCCTTGTGCTGATTAAGGAACTCACTCCGTGTAAGGAAGCTGGTCTTCAGAACTGGTCACAAAGCCTGGGAGACTATACCCTCAGGCTGGGTGAGTGGTTGTCATAGCTCTTCTCTGAGTAGGGTCATTTCTGTTCTTTTATGTTTTCCAGCTTGGAATCCTGCGACCTAACTACACTTTGCTGTCTAAATATCTCCAAGGCTCTCATCAGAAGTCAGAGCCTGAGATTTCTGAATCTGTCCACCAATCACCTATTGGATGATGGAGTCAAGCTCTTGTGCGAGGCCTTAGGACATCCCAAGTGTTACCTAGAGAGACTATCGTAAGTCTTGCTCATTTGTTTTCCCTGGAATCCTTTTGTGCAGTCTTGTGTGGCTTAGTGAAGAGCTGAAAGGGCAAACTGCTTGGGCCATGACACTACTTGGCTCATATGTCAAGCCTGGGTGAACTCTACGTAAAGGCCTCCTTTCCTTCCTTTTTTGATATTTGTTTATTTTCTTATTTTATATTTATTTATTTATTTTTAAATTTGTTTTATCTATTTATTTTTTCATGAGAGACAGAGGCAGAGGAAGGGAGCAGGCTCCCTGTGGGAAGCCTGATGCAGGATTCAATCCCAGGACCGTGGGATCATGACCTGAGCCAAAAGCAGACACTCAACCACTGAGCCACCCAGGTGTCCCTAGTTTGACTTTTAAATGCTGCTTTTCTTCATGACTGCTTATTTTTATTATTTTCCTCCTCTTCCCCTCCCCTGTATATAGCTGCAGTGGCATTTGTAATTTTAGTAGATTGAAAAGGTTGATTCTATAGCAGAGGTGTAGGGGCTATAAGTTACAGCCTAGAGTCCCTGCAAAGGAGAAGAGAAACAGGAACTTTGGTATTTGAATAATTTCTTCCTGTGTTTCTCTTTCAGCCTGGAAAGCTGTGGCCTCACGGTAGCTGGTTGTGAGGATCTTTCCTTGGCTCTCATCAGCAACAAAAGACTGACACATTTGTGCTTGGCGGATAACATCTTGGGAGATGATGGAGTAAAGCTTGTGCAAGATGCTTTGAAACATCCACAGTGCAAACTCCAGAGCCTTGTGTAAGACTGTACTAGTTTTCATCCTTCTGATGTATATTACATTTTGAAATCTATTTTAAAAAGGAAAATATGAACATATCCTGTCCCTTTTTCCTTTGTTATCCATAATGAAAATGACAAAGATGATGCTGTTAATAACTACCACATATTGTATCTTTACTCTATGCTGGGCCCTGTGCTAAATTTGTTTAACCTGTACAAAAGCACCTGTTGGTATTAGTTTGGCCATCCGGGTTCTAAGTGCCTCATTGGACAGGTAGGAAATGTGAGGCTGAGAAAGATTATGTTGCTTGCCTAATACAAGAAAATGATGGATTCAGGACTAAAGTCTGCCTGTCCAGCTCCATTTCTGGGCTTAGAACAGATTATATTAACACCATTAAACAGAAATGTAGCATCCCATAGTATGGCTATATCACAGTGTGATTATTCTCTTCATTGCTCTTAGACAATTTTAGATGTGGAATTAGAGGCAAAATTTTTATTTTGTCATATATGCTTAAATTTCTTCAGAGATTGTTCATATTTCCTCAGCAGTCTGAGGCCTACATTTTAATATCCTCACTGGATATCTATTTTTTCCATCAATATTATTTGGATAATTGAAAATAACTAAAAATAATTTATTGAACATCTCAAATATTTTTGGCCTTTAGTATTCTAAGCATTGCCTCTTTGTAGGCCCAATTTTCCTCTGGATGTTTTCTGTTATGTATGTTATATATGATGATTATTAATAGCACATATACATTATAAACATTATTTTTTATATATTGCAAATAGTTTACCTAGCATGTTGCTGTATTCCTAGCTTACAGTCCTTTTTAGAATATAGAAGTTCAAAATTTTTATGAAGTCAAATTATCTTTCTCCTTATGACTTCTTCTGGAAGTTTTGTCATAATTGGAAATATATTTCTTAAAAAAAAACTAATGTCCTATTCCTTATGGTTTACTTTTTAAATTTAAATGTTAAATTATTCCTAATTTACTCTAATAAAGCTTAAACTTATTTCCCCCATATGTCAGGTCTGCCTTCCCAAATTATTTATGGTATAATCTTTTCCCTACTGACTGGAAATGCTACTTCTATTATGTACAAAAAGTACTTTATTATGATTACTCCTGTACAGTGTGAAGAAGTCAACATTTCACTTATAGTAAGAAAAATTCTGAGAACATGGATCCAGTTTGTGCAATTTGGTACAAACCTAAGTATCCCAAGGGATACAGGCAAAGAGGTAATGAGGGAAGAGAATATTTGAGATAGTGCTGGCAAATAAGGGACCAGAGCATGAAACCTTTTCAAAGATAAAAACCTCTGGCCAGTATAGCGGTGATTCCATCTTTGCTTACATTGTCCTTCCTATAGGCTAAGGCGTTGCCACTTCACTTCACTTAGCAGTGAACATCTCTCGTCTGCTCTCCTGTGCAACAAGAGCCTGATACATCTGGATCTGGGGTCAAACTGGATACAAGATGATGGAATAAAGCTTCTGTGTGATGCCTTTCGGCATCCAAGCTGTAACCTTCAGGACTTGGAGTAGGTTTTCTGTGACCTTCCTTTATGTACTTTTACTGCTGTGAGGTCAGGGGAGATGAGGAAAGGGATGAGCTGTGTATCTGTCAAAGAAAGAATAAACAGCTGATTGCCTCTCTCTCATCCTGCCTGAGACAAGTTCGGGAAGTATGTTCATCAGATTTTTCTTAAACAGTTACTACAGTAATTAAAGTCAACCTCCCTCAGGTAAGAAGGACCAGAGACAACAGGCTGAACATCAGTCATTTTATTTTATTTTTTGGTTGTGCCCCAATGAGTTTATTGTGTGTCCTCTGCCTTATATCCATGAGGCAGAAATTATGCTCTACTTTTCAGTTAAGCTTTTTTTTTTAAGATTATTTATTCATATGAAAGACAGAAAGGCAGAGGGAGAAGCAGGATCCCTGTGAAGAGCCTGATGTGAGACTCCATCTCAGGAACCCGGGATCATGACCCCTTTGCCCTGAGCCAAAGGCAGACACTCAACCACTGAGCCGCTACCCAGGCACCCCTCAGTTCAGGTTTATAACTAGGTCAACTTCTAAAGAAACTAGGAAGACAATTTTTTTTTCTTTTAGAGAGTGCATGTGCAAGCAAGGTAGCAGAGGGAGAGAGAGAATCTCAGGCAGACTCCATACCCTACTGGGAGCCATACTCTTGGGCTTGATCTCATGACCCTGAGATTGTGACCTGGGCTGAAATCAAGAGTCAGATGCTTAATGGACTGAGCCCACCCAGGCACCCACTAGGAAGGGAATTTTTAAAAATATCCAACAAGCCAGTCATTATTAAACAATAGCTGTTCTTATTATATCCTCCCATTCTGTGAGTGGGTCTACACACACATGCATGCTGCATCTATATGTAATTGTGAATCCTGCATAGATAGAACTTTGAGGCTTCCTTTTCATATGATGGTATTTCAGAAATGTTTGAATACTTATATACAGTTATCTTATTGGCTATTTTAACAGATGCACTATATTTAGTGTTTAATATTTCAATATGTAAATGTTGTGGCTAGAGTGAAGCAACATAGTGGTGTTACTTAGTGGTCTTAGCTCCCTTTCCCACCAGGGCCTCCCATGGGACTAGTCACCTGGATAAGTCATTAAGTCAAACTCTAGCATTTTAGAACTATAAACTCTAGATTGTTGGTATATCCAGAGGTGTTTGGCTTGACTGGACTGACTCAGGATAGCCAAATTGCCACAAGAGTTTAATAGTTGATTGTCACATTGGTAAACACTAAGGCGATTCAACCTGTGAGTCCCGTAAATACCTGTACTTTCTTCAGGAAAACGTGTATGATGTGATTCTCTGAAGTTTCAACTGGAAGAACAAAGTTTTACTTCATGGAAATTATTGTTAAATCCAATACCTTTATGTCAGCCACAATTTCTAAGTGACCTATACATGCAAGATGTTTGGTTATTCCACTTTGTCTCCTCACCACTGCTGTAAACACATAGACAAATCTTTTGGTTTCTTAGCTACCTTCACAGCCTCCATGCATCCCATGCCAATTCTTTTAACCTAAGTTGACAACAAATATAAGCTACATTCTGAGGGCATTAAAAGCTGTTACTAACGTGATGCTCTTGCCCTCAAATATCTCACAAAATGCTGAGATCAGGAAATAAATACAAAGCCAGTTAGAACATATTCCATGTATTATAAAGATAGGACAAAAGTCCCAAGAAGCAAGGAGTGGAACAGAGGGGACTGAGTTACCTTAGCCTTGAAAGATGAGGAGGATTTTGTTGGGTGCAGGTATCCTTGGCAGAAGGTAGGAAGAGAGAAGAGACATGAAGATAGAGGTGGTAGGTTTGGGGGGAAAAATGGATGTGTATGGTTGGTGACTAGGATGGGGATGAAATATGGAAAGCGAATGCTGGAAGCCAGATTGTAAATGCTCTTGACTGCCCTACTGGAGACTGAAAGAAATATATTCATATATGCAGTCTGCTGCTGCTTGGAAAAAATGCTTTCTTAAAAAAGATTTTATTTATTTATTCATGGGAGAGAGAGAGAGAGAGAGAGAGAGAGAGCGAGAGAGAGAGGAGAAGCAGGCTCCTGCAGGGAGCCCGATGTGGGACTCGATCCCAGGACCCCGGGATCATGACCTGACCCAAAGGTAGACACTCAACCACTGAGCCCCCCGCCCCCCCCCCAGCCATCCCAGAAAACATTTTAAGATAGATTCCTTGGAAGTGTTTTTATTTCAAAAATATATTAGAAACTGAAAGCACAGATCTGTGGGTTCCTTGGGTAAACTTCTATCCCCCCCCCTTTTTTTAGTTTTGATAGGAAAAAGTATTTATACCTCTGATTTGGGAAGCTTGGTAGATAGTGTTTTTGGGAGAAAGCAGCTTTATTCACACTTTTTCTTCTCATTAAGCAATCCCATTTGTTTCTGCTGATAACGTTAGACATTCCTATGTGCATCCTGGATTGTGGATAGAAAAGGGGTCAGGGAAAAGGCTCAGATACCTGGGCTTCTCTCCTAGGAATAACTAATTAAGCTTCACAACCAAATGTCTCACTTCGTCTGTATTTCTTGCAGATTGATGGGCTGTGTTCTTACTAGTATGTGTTGTCTGGATCTGGCTTCTGCTATTCTGAACAACTCACACCTACAGAACCTGGACCTTGGGCACAATGACCTGCGGGATGATGGAGTAAAAATTCTGTGTGAGGCTTTGAGACATCCAAACTGCAATATTCAGAGGCTTGGGTGAGTTCAGTTTTCCATCAAGAAAATGCTACATATTTGGTGGCTAGTGTGGCTAGAAGAAATTTAGTACACAAAAGAGGATGAAAAATGGAATAGATAGAAGGTAAGTTACTATCAGAAATGAGAATCTGATTTTCAAATATATGGATCGATGTGTATTAAGCATTAGTATTGAAGCTGTATTTCATGTTTCTTAGTGTCCTCCTTAGTGCCTTGGCCAGAGTCTATATTAAGTAAATGGTACTAGCTTTAAACTCTTCCATGTTCTGTCATCTTTCAGATATTCCATCTGTCTTTGAATGAACTTCTCTTATTAAATTGAAGATTTTTGGAACACCTGGGTGGCTCAGTTGGTTAAGTGCCCAACTCTTAATTTCGGCTCAGGTCATGATCTCAGGGTCAGGAGATTGAGCCCTGCATTGGACTTCACACTGGGTGCTTAAGATTTTGCTTCTCCTTCTACTCTTCTCTCCCCTCCCCTCCCCTGGCTTGCGTGAGCTCACCTGCACATGTGTACTCTCTCTCAAAATAAATAAATAAATAAATAAATAAACTGAATATTTTGCCAATTGTCTTCTATCTGGAAAAAATGCTATCTATGCTCTTTTTAAAAAAGATTTATTTTTGAATCTTTTAAAATCTTTAACATCTCTTATTCTAAAGAGAGGTAGAGGCAGAGAGAGGGAGAGTGTGAGTAGGGGGAGCGGTGGAGGGAGAGGTAAGGGAGAGGATCCCAAGCAAACTCTGCACACTGAGCGTGGAGCCCGATGCAGGGCTTGATCTCCTGACCCTGAGATCATGACCTGAGGTAAAATGAAGAATTGGACCCTTAACCGACTGAGCCACCTAGGCATCCTACTATCTATGCTCTTAAGAAGCCTGTGGTCTAATAAAATCTTATCTTCTGTTTTGAGTACTTTTTATGTTCAATCGTATATTATTTTTTAAAATCTTGAAATGATATTGGCTAGTACATTTTTACTTGTATAGCATGAATTATTGACCTCTGGGTCAAGAATTTTGTTCCGTATGTGAGAAACACAAATATTTTGTCTCCCAGACTCTTTCAAGAAAGTGCTGTTTTATTTATGTATGCATCAACTGTTTATTGTTGTTGTGATAAAAATATATATTGTAACTATTGGATCTGAAATGTAATTTTATCCTGCTTATAACCTAATAAGTTAGCCTTGTTATCCATTACAACTCATGAGAGGGACCAGGACCTGCTGATCTTGGTATCATTGGCCATAAAGGGAGCAAAAAATTGGCCCAAAGCAGTCCCATCTCCAATAAAGAGATACTCAGTGGCCCATACTTCCAAATTTAACAAACCTCTAATCTCACTCCAGTGTGGTCTGTGTTGTTCCACTGATTTGGGTCATCATGCCCAGCTGATTCTTCCCCTTCAGTGTCCTTACTGGTTAAACATTGTTTTTGTCTTGGATGTCCTTAGAATTGCTCTTCAGGAACAATCATTCCCGTGTAGAATTTTCCTTATTAATATTTTTCTGGGGAAATGGTGTGCTATTTTAGTCTATAGATGGTGCTCTATTTTGGTAGGGTTTCCTACTTTAATTTCTGCTTATCTGATTTTCAGGGTCCTTAATTATGCTTGTGTTGGGTCTCTTGTCTGTCTTTATACGTTTTTTAAAACTCATTTTCTTTCACTTTTCTCTAACCCATGCTACATATTTCTGAGTGTGTTTTCAGCAGTGGCAACCTCCTTTTTGCTTCTTATGTCACCTACATTCTGTAATTTTTATTTTTCTCTCCTGATATTTTAAAGATCTGCCTATGTTCATCTCTTTTGTTTCTTAAATTCCATATGAGTGAAATCATATGATCTTTCCTTATTTCCCTTAGCATAATACACTCTAGCTCCATGCATGTCATTACACCTTTTTGATGGCTGAATAATGCCACTGAATGGCAAAGGAGATTGAGATATATAATCAGTGGACACTAGGGCTTTTTCCATTATTTGGCTATTATTGATAATACTGCTATAAACGTCAAGTGCATGTATCCCTTTGAATCATTTTTGTGTCCTTTGGTTAAATACCTAGTAATGCAATTGCTGGATAGTGATAGTTAAAAAACAAAAAAACAAAACCAAAAACAAGAAAGGCAAATACAAAACAGACCCTTAACTATAGAGAACAAACCGAGAGTTAATGGAGGGAGAAGGTGGGTGGTAGGTGGGCTTAGATGGGTGATGAGTATTAAGGATGGCACTTGTAATGAGCATGGGTGTTGTATGTAAGTGATAAATCACTAAATTATATTCCTGAAATATTACACTGTATGTTAACTGGGAATTTAAAAACTTGAAATGTTTATACGCAGAAAAAAAAAATCTGCCAAGTCCTATTTTAAACATTTTCACTAGGAAATATAAAATATATACAAACAAGTAAATAAACCTGTTTAAAAAAAAAAAAAACAACAAAACAGGTCAGTAAATTGAATTTGCCCAGGAAACTAAAGTAACCTTTATCTTTGTGGCCATCATTTATTTGTACAGTGACCATGAGTGTATATAGTCCTAGGCAATATATTAAATTATGTCAGGTTCTGCATTTTATGTACAGAGGATCCTACTCTGTATATTCTTTTGTGTTATGATTTTTTGTGTGCATTGTTAGGAATTGGCATCCAGTTTCATGTAGTTAGTTTTTTAAATTATTTATTCATGATAGACACAGAGGCAGACATAGGCAGAGGGAGAAGCAGGCTCCATGCAGAAAGCCCAATGCGGGATTTGATCCTAGGATGCCAGGATCACACCCCGAGCCAAAGGCAGATGCTCAACTGCTGAGCCACCCAGGCATCCCCATGTAGTTAGTTTTTTAGTCATTTTTATCGCAGTAAAGTATTCCAGTGAATGACTATACCACAAACTATGTAACCCTTCTATTATATGTGGACTTTTGTGTTTTTTATGATAGTCACAGAGAGAGAGAGAGAGGGGCAGAGACACAGGCAGAGGGAGAAGCGGGCTCCATGCACCGGGAGCCCGACGCGGGATTCGATCCGGGTCTCCAGGATTGCGCCCTGGGCCAAAGGCAGGCGCCAAACTGCTGCGCCACCCAGGGATCCCCAATAATGAATTCTGAAGCACATACGTATATATCCATCAAGGGTAAACAGGAGTAGATTTATTACATCATGGGCACTAGGTCTTCAAATTTATCAGGTTTTGTCAAAAAAAAAGATTGTACTAATTTCATCTGCCCCTGGTAGTGTGTGATAGTTCTTGTTCTCTATTCTTGCCAGTTTTGTCTGACTTAATTTTTAAAGTTTTAGTGAATCAGGTGTGTTTCAACATGTCATTGTGGTTTGTTATACGAATATTTTAACATCTTGGTTTATAAAGGAGATTAGGTTATAAATTTCTTGTGTAGTCCCCTTCAAGTTTTGGTATCCAAATGATCGTATTTTCAAAAAATGAGTTCAGGAGTGATCCTCTTCTCTTTTCTAGGGGAGTTTGTGTAATATTGGAATTATTTCATCCTTGAACTTCGTGGAAATTTCTGGTAAAGCTGTATGATCCAGAATTTCCTTTGTGTGGAGATTTGACTTCTGATTCATTTTTAAAAATAATTATACATTTATGTAAGTTTTCTAGAGTAATTCTTGGTAAGATTATTCCTACGATTTTATCCATTTCATCTGAATTTTAAAACTTATTGGCAGGTGTCTAAAATTTTATTCTCTGCTCAACTTCTGATCATCTCCAGTGACTTAGACATCTAGTGATGTCTCCTGTCTTTTCCTGGTATTGGCAGTTTGAATTTTTTCTCGTTTTACTTTTTCAAAGAACACAACATAGATCTTCTCTATATTTTTTATTTCATTAATTATTATTTTATCTTATTTCTGCTTTTACTGAGTTTATTTTACCATTCTTAAATTCTTGAGTTGAAGGATAAATATTTCCTCATTTTCTACACTTAAACATAGGACTTTTCTTCAAATCATGGCATTAATTCCATCCTATATTTGATATTATATGCACCATTTGTTATTTTTGAGTCTAAAATATTTAACTTCCCTTATGATTTTTTTCTTCAATCTATGGGTTATTTTAAAGTATATTCCCCCCAAAAAAAGTATATTCCCTAATTTTCAAATATGAGGTGTTTCTTGTCATCTTTTTATATTTAATCTCTCGCATTGTGGTCTGAGAACATACTAAGCATGATTACAATTCTTTGAAATTTGATATTAGCCTCATGACTTAGTATATAGTCAGTTCTTCTATGTGTACCATGATGCACTTAATATGAAGAGTTATGGAATGCTATATTGTATATAAGTGAATTAATATTCTGTTATTCAGATCATCTATACATTTTTTTTAAAGATTTTATTTATTCATGAGAAAGGCAGAGAGACATAGGCAGAAGGAGAAGCAGGCTTCCTGATGCAGGACTTGATCCCAGGACCCCGCGATCAGTCTGAGTCAAAGGCAGACACTCAACCAGTGAGCCACCAAGGCATCTTTAATTTTCTATATTGTGAAGCCATTATTAGTGACTGCAAACTTAGAATGATTATTTCCTGATGAATTCTTTTTTTTTAAATTTTTATTTATTTATGATAGGCACACAGTGAGAGAGAGAGAGAGAGAGAGAGAGAGAGAGAGAGAGAGAGAGAGAGGCAGAGACACAGGCAGAGGGAGAAGCCGGCTCCATGCACCGGGAGCCCGATGTGGGACTCGATCCCGGGCCTCCAGGATCGCGCCCTGGGCCAAAGGCAGACGCCAAACCGCTGCGCCACCCAGGGATCCCCCTGATGAATTCTTAACCTCTTATGTCTCCTAGTGCTTTTTACCCTACGGTTTATTTTGTGTGATATTAACCTCGTGTCATAAATAGTGAAATTGTTGGTCTATGACATTAATGGCGAGTTCCATGTGGAGGCAGCAACTTAAATGTTTTAAACTCAGCACCTATATAGGCACTCAATTATTGAATGGCTAGGTAAACATAAGATTAATTGCTTGGGGATGTCATCAGGTGTAGAAGGTTGAGTTTAAAATACTTCAATTCCTAGTAGTATCATTGGTTTATGCAAATGTCCTCTATTGACTATTGGTTAATTTATCTCCTTTAACCATTTTTCTTCCCTTGTGTAGGCAGCTGGCCTACTGTGTTTGAAATATGCCATATAATTGTATCATTGTAAAAGATATAATGTTTTTTGGTGTATGCATTTCTATTTGCATAAATGGCACAGTGCTAGAGACCTCATTCTATATCTTGCTTTTGAAATACTCAATACCATATTTCAAAAGTCTACTTACACATCTATACTTTTAATGATCAAAAATCCAACTGCTTCAACTTTTCTTAGTGTGTTTTCCTGTTTATTCCCTGGACCATAATTATGAACTTGGAATTCTTGATTTAGGAAGGGGATATATTCAGTCTATAAATAACTAGTAATAATGAATATGAGAAGGACTTACATTCTTCAAATTTACTCTAATTATGCTCCCTTCATTTTAAGCTTTGGAGTCCTCCTACACTCCCAGCTCACAGATCTCTTACGTTCTTGCTCTCTGGGATAAAATTTTTATCTTTAGCCTCTCTTCCCTGCAGATTGGAATACTGTGGTTTGACCTCCCTGTGCTGTCAGGATCTCTCATCTACTCTTAGAAGCAACCAAAACCTGATAAAAATAAACCTGAAACAGAATACTTTAGGGTATGAAGGAATGATGAAGTTATGTGAAGTCTTGAAGTCTCCTGAATGTAAACTGAAAGTTCTGGGGTAAGTCTTCATTAGCTTCTTAAGGTGAAAGTTTCCTGTAACAGGATTTGGGGAACCACTTGTGTACTGCAGGCCTAAGGATCAGCCTGATTGTGGATCCTTGCATATTTTTGAGGCCCGTATTTGTTTTTCTCACATAGGACGTGGAATTTTGAGAGTGTAGCATAGTGGTAACAGCGAAGAACTCTAAAGCAAGACTACCTGAGTTTGAAAGCTAGCTGGAACTTACTAGACATTTGAACTTGCACTAGTCTCCAATCTCTGTGTTCCGGTTTCCTTATCTACAAATGGGTGAAATGATATCTGCCCATGTTTTATTATGAGGATTGATCAGCTGACTCAGAAGGGGGGCGCCTATTCTGTTTTACTATCTGAAGGTAGAGTGTTTCTATGAAAACTTTCATAAGCGAAAATGATGTAAAGCAGAGAAGCAATTACAATTAATTTTATATGGGAAATTTTTTTGAGCATTCCTGGACCTAAACAATAACCTCTTTCAGGCTTTTCTGATACCTTAGGACACATGCACAAAATAAATTGATATAAAGCACAGATGCCTGACAGTTTAAAGCTATGCCAGCATGGTGCTGAGAGGCAGTGTAGGTCCCAGAGAAGGGGCGTGGAAGGGCCACTGCTCTTGCTGCTTGGGTTTGTGCTGCCTCTATAATGGCTTGCTAGATCCAAATGCTATTTTCGCTTTTTACGTGTGTGTGTGTGTGTGTGTGTGTGTGTGTGTGTGAGAGAGAGAGAGAGAGAGAGAGAGAGAGAGAGAGAGAGAAAAGCAAAAATCTTTAGACTTCCTTTGGTTATCAAAAACAGTTGCTAATGTTGGGCTCTCATAAGGGTGAAGTGGTATAGGTATGATCTTTGAACAGCCAAGGGTACCTGTAGTGAGAACCGTGCCTAGCATATAACACATAATAGTGTTATGTGTTAGCTGTTGCTATCAGTAGTACTGTTTTGAGAAGCAAAAGCCTCCTGGAGGATCCTCTTAAATTTTAGTCTATTTCTATTTCTACTCTCTATTTTCCTTCACCTCCTGCCTTCCCTCTCCTGTGTATCCCTCACACTTTCCTTGCCCCACTCCCCAGCCATGTTCATTTGTCATTTGTGTCTACTGCAGTCTTTCTCAGAGAAACAAATCTGAGTGCGAGAAGAGGTGTTCCCTTGTTTTCTCAGGGTGTGCAAAGAAGCATTTGATGAGGAAGCTCAGAAGCTGCTGGAAGCTGTGCGAATTAGCAATTCACACCTCATCATTAAGCGCGATTATAATGATGATGATGATGAAGAAGGTTCCTGGTGGCGGTGTCTCTGATTTGAAGAACCTGATGTTCTTTTTAAAAGTAAAATGAAGGCTTAGAGTGACTAGGCTTGGGCCTCTTAGCTTTAGGTGCTTTATGCCCAGACTGTTTAAGGTCTGTTAGATGTAGATGAGTCACTTCTCTGTAACATTTCTGTTATACTTCACATGGGAGTTGAAAGGCTATAAAATAAAATGAAAAGCATAAAGCCCTGTGGAAGGTATAACATGTTTTTAATTGGATACAGAGCTTTAGAATTCAGATGCGAGAATCCTAGAAATGATACCAGAGGACGGGGCCAGGGCAGATGGACATAAGAATGTCTGTTTTCCTTTCTCTCCCTCCCATAATTGGCTTACTTCACAGCCTCACCAGCTCTGGGTTATTTTACTGACTGCTTTTCTTTGTGTGCTCCTGGGACCACTGGTGTCTAAATACTTCGGGTGTTTCTTAAAATGCAGATTATTGAGCCCTGTATCAGACTTACTGAATCAGAATAACTAGATGAAAACCTTAGGAACTGGCATTTTAAATAATTTTCCAGGCAGTTTTTAGGCATGTTATGATTTGAGAATTGCCGGTCCCAATTGAAGCAGGAGTCCACTTCCTCAGTGAACATTTTCTGTAGCCTGTTGCAAAGATAAGTGGATATAGGATTATTGGGTTTAGAGCTAAAGTCATGTGCTTTGACAGAAACCTGATTCAGTAACCTTTTCTGTGAAAGACTTCTAATTATTTATTAATATGTGAAAAACCATTCCAAAATTTAGTGACTTAAAGCAGTTACTGCTTTGTTCTATCTCATGACTTGGTAGATTAGAATTCAGAGGGGCTCAGCTAAGCATTTCTTACACTCCACACATTACTTGGGGTCCTTCAGTGATACTCAGCTCACAGCCAGGTTGCTCTGGAGGGTCCAGGGTGACTTCACTCACATGCCTGGTACCTTAGCAAAGGTGGAAGCAAACCTTCCTATGGCTGGAAGGTTGGGTTTGGCTGGATATCTCTTCCCTCTAGTCTTAGGGACTTTCCACATGGTTTCTCCAGCAGGGAAGGTAATTATCTTATGGGGGTTTAGGACTTAAAGGGGCCAAGTGGAAGCTGCCCATTCCTTGAAAGTTAGGCCCCAGACTGGCACAAAGTCACTTCTATCTTATGCTATTGGTCAGGAACAGTCCAGGGCAGCCAGCCCAGATTTGAGGGCAGTCACTTCTTGATGGGTGTAGTGTCAGTGAAGTTGTGGTCTTCCTTAGTCTACCAAAGACTCAATTTTTTTTCCCTCCTTGTCTGTAAGAGATCAGTCTCGTAGATGGTATAATCACCCCTGTGTCAATGTGGCAGAGCTGGAGGTAAAGAGTTGACCATAGCAGTAAGAAGGAGGCGCAAGTGGCAGTCATGGGAAAATTCACAGATAATGTTATTGGAGCTAATATCTATACAGATGATGCGTAGAGGGAGTCACTAATGGGGTTCTCAGTTTTGACAGTCATGCTGGCTAAAGACTAGCCTTGGGGTGTTATAACAAAAGAAAGTATGCAGCAAGGAAGTGGTATTCCCTTCACACGGCAGTTTTGGGCTGCAGTGAACATTTTATCCTTCATAGACAATAAAATTTCCAATCTGCCCAAGTAAAACTCCACAAAGGAGTTAATAAATGCTTATCAAGGTACTTTCTACCAAACTTTCAGGTAAGAGAAAATTCTTATGTTTTTTAAGCCATTTCAGAGCATCACTGAGGAAGGTAACTTTACCATTTTCTTTTATACAACTACAAAACTTTAATAGTAAAATCTCAAAAAGCACTATAAGGAAATTCACAGTTGGATGTTACTTATAAATATATATACACAAAGACTGAATATAAATATTTGAAATTTCCAAAATTTAATTTAAATATACCATGAATTAGGAGTGCCTGGGGTGGCTCAGTCATGTAACTCCTGAGCTCAGAGTTTTGAGTTTGAGCCCCACATTGGGTATAGAGATTACTTCAAAATAAAATCTTAAAAAATATATATATATCATGAATATTATGATTTGCATCCGAAATACGAGAGGACAAATATTAGGAGGAATGTTATAATTTAGGATATAGATTGATGTAGAAAGACCAAATGATCACTTCAGTAAATGTTGATAAGGCATTTAATAAAATTCAGTCTTGTTTTTGGTCAGGTACTTTCATAACATAAGGAATTCTTACCCTGCACTATAACTGTATACTAGAAGCACTGTCATTTAAATTTTGGAAACACACCTGGTTTCCAGGGTGTTTCTAGGGTGAGGGGAGTGAAGTACTTACTGGAGGAGTGTGGAGGCTGCTGGGGTGGATCTTGTGCCAGTGCAGAGTCAGACGCTGTCTTTCAATCTTTGGTGTTCAGTTATCATGGATGTTTTGGGTGAATTTTGATTTACAAAGTATTCCACTAAAATGTTTATCTTGATTACTGAGTTTCTCCATATCTCCTTAAGTTTTGTGCATCACCCAAATTACTCCCCTCATCCTAAATCCAGCCCTGAAGACAAGGGTTTGCAATTTCAAATACTGTAGTTAAGGAGTCAAAAGAGAGTCAAAGAATAAATAGGGTGATCAAAACAACTTCAGCATTGTTGGTTTTTTTTTTTATTCTTTACATTTTTGAAAAATTTATTTTGTAAATTCTTATTTGTTACATTTGAATTTGTTCTGTTAGTATGCTAACGTCTTAAGTTAGATTCTTACTGATTTCTAGCCTCTTTATTACAAGCATTAAGGCTATAAATTCCCCTCAGTTTCTACTTTAGCTGAATTCCCAAGCTTGAATATGGAGTAGTATTCATGTCCTAACGTTGTCTTACACTGGGATTTTTTTTTTCCCTGTGGCTCATATGTCAAATAGAAATGTTCATAATTTCCAGACGTAAGAGTTTTTAAAGTTATCTTTTTGTTATTTTTAACCTAATTATCAGATAATGTGTTCTGTTGGAAAATATTTTTTGAAATCAGTTAAAACACTTTATGACCAAAAAAAAGTAAAACAAACAAACAAAAAAAACAAAAAACACTTTATGACCTACCATATAATCAGTTTTCTAGGTGTGCTTGAAAAGAATGTAAACTTTCCCATAACTGAGTACCTGCACACATATATAGACACATATACATCCATTAAATTAAGCTTTTTAATTATGTAGTTCAAACCTTCCTATACTAATTTTTGCTGTTTAACCTATCAATTGAGAATATTTGCTTTAAATCTAATATGGAATTATTTTTTTCCTGTATTTAAATTTTTGCTTTAGATATTTTGAGGTCATGGTTGTCTACTAAATATGATAGAATTATGTCACAGGCAGATTTGAACTTGCCTTTTGTCAGCTTAGCCAAGGAGAAAAGATGTCTTTTATTATACTGCTTTGGTTTAAAATGTCTTTCAGATACTCTAATTGGTCCAGAATGGATCCAGGGATGCAGTAAAACATAATTTTTAAGGATTTAAAATCATGGCTCTTATATAAATGCAGAATGAGTCAAAGATTCATCAAAGACTTATCAGTGCATTAGGGAACTAGTGAGCTAATGCTTTAAAAAGCATTTAAGGAACAAAGGTTGTATATATATATATATATATATATATCCATCAGAAATGGTGTTTCTTTAAAAAGTTGGAATAACATTTCAACCATTAAAACTGGTTAATGTCCAGGGTGCCTGGGTGGCTTAGTCGGTTGGGCTTCTGACTTTGGCTCTAATCATGATCTCTGGGTCCTGGGAGTCTGCTTGTCCCCGGGCCCCTACCCCCTCTCATATCCTCTATCAAAATCTTTAACCACCTTTTTTTTTTTTAATGTCCTACAAGGTAATAAGTAACCTTTGGTATTCTCTTTCAATCATATAGAAATCATTTGCACTGCTAGCTCAAAGAATTATTTATATTGCTATTAGGTTTCTACAGAATACTCTCTACCCTTAGTTGTGAATCTCCTGATCAAATAGCAAATTGACCGAGAACTTTTAAGTTTTTTAATATGCCTCTCAGTTTATCTTTTTAAGAGTTTGAGGGAAAATCAATTTGAATTATGCAGCACCAAACGAAGTGGCAAGAAGGGTTGCACCCAAAAACAGGAGAAAGTCTTTTAATAGAAAAGATATGAAAGCAAAACAAATTATTTGAATGGCTATAGGTTAAGCATTATAAGCTTTATTTGTAAAAGCCTAGTTGGGTATTTGTGATTGGTTGTCCTTAGGTTTCCATTTAACCTTGAGGCATTTACAGGTTTTTGTTTTGATTTGCTTGTATAGTGTCATTAGCACTCTATGAAGGCACACATTGGAGTGTGTCTTTCTGCAATTTTGGGTTTATTCAGTCATAAAGCAAAATTAATTATAAAGCAGGTTCAGCATTCCAAACTCAATGACTTTTCACCATGTGATTAACTGAGCTGCTTATAAGGCACACAAAGCCATGCACAAGACAAATCCTACAACAAGACAGAACAGGGGGTAGGAGGTTAACCAAATGTGAAGTCAGTCAGCATATCAGTAAGCTCTTGGCCCCCGTGTAAGTCACCTCTCAGCACTTAAATGCTTATTATGTTCAAGTGGTGAAGGATCGGTGTTCTTTTCACAGATCAATCAGAGCCTGCTGTAGTAGCTCTGAAGTGGTCAGACATAAAGGGGTCAGTGTTAGACTCTCAAAACAGTTTGCTGCAAAAATCCTACCTTGTTAGTGACTTAATCCATTTTGGGCCCCTGCAGACCTTATCTTTCCGCTGGTTATAGGTTCTGAGTGTGTCATCAGCTGGTGTTGGCCTCGGCGATATCTGGTCTCAGCTGAAATGCCCTTGGTGCCTGTGTCTTGACATAGGCCACTGGTGGATATGAGTGATGATATCTTGCTCTCTGCAATAGGATGCTACGATATTAGAACCATCTCCGTCTAATGGCCACCAGTACACCCCTGGAAAATCAGATAATCTCCTGCTTGCTAGCCAACACCTACCATTGCAGTGAAAGGATACCTAGTAATCCTTT